ATAACTGAGGTCCCTGTGAAGCAAAAACCTAAACACTTTACCAATTTAAAAAAAGTGCTACGTTTCCTAATGACAAAAGTTTTTTCTGCCACAGAGGAAGTGAAAGTGAGGAATGTGCTTTGTTATGACAAAGAAATGCCTCAACCAAATGAAGGAAACTGGTATGGCAACTCTAGGAGCAAGCACTACCAACCCATGAAGATAAACACTCGGCAACTTGATTTCTCTTCTTGGTTGGGAGATTTGGCTTGGAGCTGCTTCCATTTTCATCACTGTTGTCAGCTGTTTCTGAGTCCCACCCTATCCGAGGGGCTGGCAGTCTCCTGTTTGCACTGCAGTCCCTGGAACAGAGACCAAAATCCTCTGATGATCACCGTGTGCTCTGGAGCAGCTGTAATGCTATACTCATGTTTTCACAGGCTCTGTGATTTCTCGCACATTTTTTCTATTCACAGCCTCACTTTTTCTCCAACACTCTGCTCCCCTGAGAATGATGTTAAGTACTGTTGTGGCTTGAAAAGCAGAAACTGAGAGCAGATTTCCCTGCAACTTCTTCACAGCACTTCATGTCGTGCAGCTGAACTGCAGTTGGTCTACAATGAGGTCTTCAAATGCCTGCAGAGTAAGCTGCAGAGCATGCATCTGTGAGTGGGAACAGAAGGAAGGAAGCAGGGGTGGGTGGAAGAGCTTCTCTTGTAGTGGCAGATCTGCTGCATCTGGTTGGAGCTGTTGATTCATATCCTTAGGCCACCACAGCTATGGCTTCCTCTATGGTATAATTCCTACAGCAGCGAGCTCTGATTGTTCCACGGCACCATGGCTAGCATGGCTTTTATATCCAAATACAGCTGTGTAAAGGCAGGAAAATGAGAAAGGGTTTGAGAGTTTGTGCACTGGCAGAAAACAGTGCTGATTCTTGCACTTGTGTAAACATATACAGAGCTTTGTAGAGTCTGAAGAGCTCAGTGACCAGCTGGCAGAACAACCTGAAGTCTAAACCACAGGCTTGGAAGAACATGCCTTAGCTTGATGCAAAAAGAGCAGGGCCAGAAAATCCACTGGGACTGGTGCACCAAACTGCCCGTTTAGACAGCACTCAGAATTAAAGTCTTCTGCTACAAAAGTGTGCATGCATCTGCTAAATATAGAAAATAACAGGGATGGAGGTGTTGGAGTTACACTACTACCTTTGTTTAACAGTGAAGATAACACTTGAAGGAAATGAACAAAAATATTACAGAAATAAGTAGAGAAGGAAGCTCAGCTCCAGACTTCAAGCAGGGAACTGACCCAGGGATAAGCCAGAAAAAGAAAGCTTGGGGCTGACAGCCCTTTGCCAGTGAATGAGAGTACGGTTGCTGGAAACGCTGTTCAGGGAAGCAAGGCTTTGTAAGCAGCCTATGTCAGGGAAACGCCTGTCAACATCAGAGGCATTGCTAGTTTTAAAGGAGTATCCCCTAGATTCTGTTTTGGGACAAGGAGGGAATAATCTGGGCTCTCTGGGGCTCCACTAAGCGAAAATACCCATTCCTGACACTTGTAGGCTGGAAGAAAGGTGGTGATTTGAAGTCCTGCTGCATCACCTACCAAAGGTGATCTTCAGTCTAACACAGCAGCACTGCAATTTAAAGAAACCCAGCAAAACAGCCATCATTTTTCTCTTGTGATCAGTTTATTTGTTTGTATTCATATATAACACAAAGTACAGTCATGAGAGACAGATCACCAGAAAAATGGTTACAATTCTGATACCACTCAACATTGTCACGAGTCAGATATACTTTCATTTAATGCATATCTCATACAGGCTGCTTTGGAAAAGGTTTTCTATTGAAGACAGCTATAAAGTGTGTGATTCAAAGAGCCCCGTGCCCCAACAGGACTGGGAACATCCACATACTTTTGGTTAACCAGGAAAGAATAAAATGTCAGAAAACATCCTTCTCTTGTAGAATGACTCTATTTTAAGCCTTCACTAAAATTCTGTAGTGCAACAGCCAAAGTAACTCAAAAATACAGATATGTTGTACTTGCAACATTGAGCTTGCTTTTTAAATTACAGTACTCATTAGCACTGCTCTGGGAACAACTGAGGAGCACCCCACGCTATACCACTGTTTATTTCTGCTTATCAACATGGTCGGGTTTTGCTGGAATCTGCAGGCAGGTAGCTTGAAGCTGTGGGCTGAGCTGTAACAAACGAGCCCAGTGACCTCATATGACTGCATCTAAAATACCACATAGCTACAGTTTCTACAGTTTCAGGAAGGTCTTCCTGATGTCTGATGGTTGGCCACACGGCTCTTGCACCACCACTCAGCTTCTGAGAGCCCAAAGGGATTGCAGAAGTGAGCTGAGGGAAGGGTGGTGTTCCACCATAGTGGATGAGTAACTTCCACCAGTCTTGTCTTCTGCTTCTCGAAACAGAACATGAACTTTATTAATGCTTAATTTGGACACTGAACTTAAGGCTTAAAATCCTGAAGTAAGTCAGCTGTAATTCAGAAGGAATTAACTTTCCAGTGCTAGCATTAGAAATGAAATTGATGTTGAAAGGAAAAATCTGGTACAGGTTTCTGCTGTCCTTCTCCCTGCCCTCCTCCTTTGCACCTCATGCTTCCCAGGCTCTTCTCCTCTCCTCACACCTTCTCCCACTGCTGACTGCAGGCATTTGCCCACACTGACCTACAGCCCTCAGCCAAGGAGCCCCTGTGCCACAGCAAGGGGAGTGCAGAGTGGGAGGGCACAGGCATCCCCTGTGCTGCTGGGAGAGGAAAAGCTTTCTCTCTAGCAGTGCCAGGAAAACAGAACCAAGTAAATAAATGAGAAAGAAAAGTATTGTTCTGAAATAAACACACACCCTTTGAATTTTTCAAGAATGCACTTTAAATTCAGGTTTATTTCTTAACATAGTTCAGCTGTTGGCCCTAAGCAGGTACTGTTTCTGCCAGCAGCACTTGGGCTGGTGCAGCAGTGCATTCTGCAGCCTGCAAACACAGGCATTGTTGTCACTGGTAGAGAAGGTGCCCTGCCATGGGTTTCCTTCAGCTGCCACCTGAGCTGAGCTCTTTGCTTGTTTTCTTCCTGCTGTGTTTTCTATGTAAGCTCATGTGGCACTCAGTTCCCCTCAATTCTTTACAGTTTAAACAAAGCAGATATGAGGAAGTTGTGCTCCTCCATCAAACAGCCTGCTAAGTAGGCCTTAGTCTTGGGCAACTGATTGCCCCGAAGAACTCAGAGCTAATGGAGACATGATGCCCCAAATAAAACCAGAATAATTTAATTGGAGAGAACGCTGCTTTCCATCTGCTGTTAATCAGTGTTGACACCTGAGATTCCTTTTGTGTTCAGCCCTCATTAGGCCCCATGAGACCTGTTGGCACCATGTTCTTCCCACTGGTTTCTGCTCACGTGGCATTCATGCACTCAGCTGTTCTGTCTGCAGCAAAAATCAACTGTAGCCTACGTTGTGGAATCATCCATCGGTAACTCATTTGGACTCAGGTCTGAAGAAAGGTGCTTTGGTTCTTTAAAACACCAGGTTAAGTTGCTTTTTTTGTAGATACATACACACACGCACATAGCTTTCATGGAAAACTTGAAAAAAGCCTTTTTGCTTCACGAATGAGAAGAATTAGTGACTTGCAATTTTTGCTCGAGCATCACCACTAAAAGCACTTCCTGCAGCCCTTAATTCCTGTGTGTGCCACTCAGTCTTTGCTTTGTGCCCTAGTGTCTGCAGACTTGTCCCCAGCTCCTCCAAGGCGCTCCAAGGAGCTTCAGAAGAACTACGAGTGGTGTGGTTTCCTTCTGACTTCCCTCCATACCCAGGCTAAAGCCTGAGAACTACTGTGATTCAGAATGTTTTGTTCCCAGTCTTGCGCTCCAAGGTGCTCACAGAGGGCACAGCAGGTCTCTCCAAGGACCCCTCCTGCTTCTTTCATCACATTGTGCATCAGCTGTGGAGGGGATGGAGCTGCTGCAGGGCAGACAGGGTCCCTGCTGTCCCTTTTCCCCAGATACCTTTCCACGAAAAGTGTGGGACCGTGCTACTCTCTTTGTCACGCAGCAGGCGCGGAGCCCCCAGGCCCAGTTAAACAGTGGCTGTCGGCAGTGGCTGAATTGGTTCTCTGGAGAGTACCCGTCCTGATGAAGATCTGCTTGCCTCTCAGGGGGCCCGAGCCCGTTTCCACTTACACCACAGTTACACGCTGGGGCAACGCAGCGGGAGCTGTGAGCTCAGCGTCGCACTTCAGACTTTACTTTTCCCACCTTGGGGTCAGCCTCACTACAAGTAACCACCATCCGCAGCCCCGCTCAGCCGCCAGCCCCGCTCTCCAGCCCATTTCCCCCCCGAACAGTGGCGAGCAGGGAAGCGGAGAGGCGGGGAGACCCTGGAGCCGGGGGCAACGGCAGGGCTGGGCCCGTACCTCGGCCGTGAGCTGGCCGGGAAGGGTGAGGCTCTGGAAGAGACTCCAGTTCGGGGAGCCACAGGTAGGCGGCGGCCTCTTTTTCTCTTCCCAGGTTCGCGGAGGCTTTCCCCCCTCTCTCCTCCTCTCGCTCCAGCTCTCGCTTTCCGGGTTGGGAGTTCGGTGCGCCTCACAAAAGTGCCTGCAGCGGCGCGGGGTTCCCCAGGTGGGGCTGCTCCGGGCTTTTCTCTCCCCACCTCCTTCTCTTCCTCTCCTCCCTTTCTCCCTTGGCCGCTTTCCCTCCTTTGTGGCCTCATCCAGAGCGCTCAGCCCCCCTCCCACGCTTCCTCCTCTCCACTCCGGGGACAGAAACCCGGGCTCTTTCCTGTCTCCCGGCCGCAGGGCAGCGCAGCGGGCTCTCCCCGCGCCGGCGGCCGCTCCGCTCCCTCTCGTCCTCCGGTGCCGCTCCCGCACATGGGTGCCGCGCGGTGCCCCCCCTCCGCTCGGCGGGCGGCGGCGGCGGCTGCTCTCCCCGAGCCCCAGTCCCGGCCCCGGCGCGCGTAGCGCGGCGCCCGCCCGCTCTGATTCATTTGTTGTTGTTGTGCTCCCTCCCTCTCTCTCTCCTCTCCCTCTCCCTCCTCTTTCTGAACTTTCGTCGCCGCGGCCGCTTGGCGGGCGAAGACTTTCCGCGCCGGGGACGCCCAGCTTCTCCCCTCCAGTCCGCCGTCCCCGGCCGCGATGCCGTTCCCCCTGCGGACCCTGGAGCCTCTGAAGCTGTGCAGGTTGGAGGAAGGCGACGGCGCGGAGCGGGGCGGCCCGGCGCCGGGGGACCACGCCGGAGCGGCCGAAGGGGGCGGCGGGCGGCGGCGCGGCGCGGTGCCGCAGTTCGGGGCGCTGGAACAGGTCAGCTCGTACGCGCTGGTATCGCTGCTCATGCAGCTCTCCGACCTGTCCCGCTGCGCCGGAGACATCTTCGGAGGGATCCTGAGCGAGGCGGACACGCTGTGCCACCGCAACGCCCGGCTCCAGCGCCGCCTGGGAGCCCTCGAAGCTCTGCTCGCACGCCTCGACCACCGCAAAGTGAAGATCCGTGAGTGACTGAGGGGAGCGGGCGGGTGTGCGGGGTTCGGGCTCAGCCGGGCTCCTGACAGCGCGGCCACTGCTTAGCTCTGCTGGGTGTGTGCGGGCACAGCTCGGTAAATGGAAACCTGGGTGCAGTTTCCAGCTACTTCTGTAGTTCTCCTCAGCTCGTCTCTTGTTGAGGAGGACCCGCTGCGTGCAGGCACATCCCAAGTCTGCATGTGCAGCTTCTTACACAGCACGAGTCCAGGGCTGACGGGCTGGGGAGGTGTTTCTTAGATTCCCGTATGAACCTGACGCCGGCCCTTAGGAGCGAGGGGCTGTGTGGCTGCACAGAGTTTTAGAAAAACGGTCTCTTTTCCCAGTTCGGTCTGGCTTTGGGGAAAGGATCATGTGAAAATGGTATCTGCTCCGTGTAGTTTCTGTGGTGTGTGTCCTTGACCTCACAGGAGTGCAAGATGGCTCTCAGCATCAGCATGGCATTCTCAGTGTGTTGGAAGCATCGTAAGCCCTAGGAACTGAGTTCCAGCAACTGCAGAAGATGCCCTGGGGTTAAGCCCACCCTGGGTGACATTGGTGCTCTGAGACCACCAATTGGCCCCACTGAAATGAGGGCTGGAAGCTTGCTTTGCATGTAGCGTGCTTGTGAGCAAATTTGGTCATAAACTCCTTTTGCAGATAAAGTTCAAAGAGTGTGGACTCCGTAACTCACCTGTTGCACTGCAGAGTTATTCCTTCTGCTATTCCTTGTGCTGCACTTCAGCTGATACCCTCTTGCTTCCAGAGGAGGAAGCTCCCAATGCTCTTAACAAAAGGCTATTTCTGTGATTTGTGACCTTTAAGTGACAGTTCTGTGATAACACTTGACTTCTTGATGCTTTGCAGCTGTCTGATAAACTTCAGATGCTTTTCTTCCTCACCAAGACAGGGACGTTTTCTCCTGGCAGTGTTGTTATGTTGGCGTGGTATGGTGCATTCAGACATAAAGTGAGGAGGGTGTTTCCTACTGGGGATGCCTGCAGCAGGGTGCTGCATTACATCAGTGCCCAGATAAATGCATTCAGCTTTATTTCTCTGCTGTAAACAGGGAGCGTATTGCTAAGCACTGTGCAACCCATCCATAGGGAAGGGTGAGATGAGGCACCGTGCAAACCCTGATATTTTGTATGTGTCAGATGTTTGGTTGTTGTATTCTCTCTTGGTCATCAGTTGGCACAAGCCATTTATTTGCTACTTATAGTTTTTATTATAACTCAGTTCTTTGAGCTAAGCCTGTTATTGCTTTTAATTTGATGGTCATTTCATCCAAGCTGGGTGCAGTTCCTGTTTGGCTTTCCCCATTTGGTTTAAATTCTTCATTAGGGAGTGTCTCTGCTGTCAAATTTAATGTTGCTACTTAGCAGTTGTGTTGCTGCTAGCATTTACTTTGCAAAGAAATCATTATTTCTCAAAGGCTTTAATAAATGAGATATTTCTAACCTTGTTAAAGTTGTGTGAAATGCAGGCTTCTCATAAAGGACACATATCAGTCACAAGGAATTGATCCATAGGCTAACGATGTTGACATAGAGTTGCACGTAAAGACGTGTCAGTTCTCTTGTTGCATTCTTATTCATACTGCAGTCTGGCAATATGGATACCAGGGAAAGGCGGTGGGCATGGAACAGGCTGCCCAGGGCAGTGGTCACTGGCCCCAAGTGCAGGAGTTCAAGGAGTATTTGGACAGGGCTGTCAGACATAGGGTTTGGATTTTGGGTGATGCTGTGTGGAGCCAGGCATTGGAGATCTGGTGATCCCTGTGGGTCCCTTCCAGCTCAGCATACTCGATGATTCTATGATTCTGGTCACTGAGATGGAGTGGGATGAACAGCTGTAGTGAGCATTGCGAACTCCTCTTCCATTAGGAAGCTGTCACAAGTTGTCTGCAAATGTAACCCTGTTGCTGGGTTTTAAAGGTAAATATCTCAAAAATGGTGAGAGAAGTTAAGTTATGTGGGCTTTGTTTGGAAACAATGACAGGGGTTTGGTTTTTAATTTTTTTTTTTTTACGCTTACATATCTGAAGACACAGAAGCTTCATGGAAGAAGCTGCTGGAGTGGGACTGTAAGAGGACCAAGGGTTATAAGACAAAATAAACTACGTTCACATTTAACAGGCTCTTGCTCATAAATGTTTTCTTGTGCAGATAAAAATATTATCTACTGTACCTCTTGTGGCATACAGGCAGCTGAAACATGATGTTGTGTCAGATGATTTAAGTATCCCAGTCTGGCTTTTTACTGAAATGAGGGGATAGGAGATTGTACACCTGCTTTTTAGATCATGGGCAATTTCCACTTGAAAAAATGGTTTGTGTTCTCTTTGTGGGGCCCAGGCAATAATTTCCTCTTAAAACTGAAGTTCCTGGGGTGGTCCCAGCATGATTTTTTTATGGCAAGGACCAGAGGACAAGCGAACTTCACATATGGACCCCAATCATTCCATAGGAAGTAGCTGTGGGCTGGCAGCTAGTGTAAGCTACTCTCTACGTATTTCTGATGCTGGGGAAAGTACACACTTTGACAATGTGAGGGTTTTTTCATGCGTATTATCATAATTTTGTTTCAAAATAGAGCTTCCATGCAGTGTCCTGCAGTCGCATGGGTCTGTGAGTGCTCACCATGGATCCTTGATGTGCACATGACACAGGGGGAGCGGGCACAACAAGCCTTTGTCTTCAGTGAGTCACTCTGTACAGTCATGAACGCTACCCATGTGTCTGGCTGCACAGTACATGTGTGTAGGATCCACGTGCTCCTCAATGCTGCTACGGGTGGATGGTACTGGGTATTAGACCAGTTGCTGTCGACTATGTCTTGAATGGTCTCTGCTGTTTCTCTATTAGTAGCCCTCACAAGGTGAAAACTTCAGGAGTAGCTGGGTTTCTGTAGTGCCCATCAACTGGGAGGCCGTTTTCCAGGTGTTCTATACTGTTGTACTGCCTGTGTGTAGGTAGCAGTTTCACCTATGCTTTGGGATACTGAAGGCAGCTTTCACTGTACGTGATGTCAGTGATGATTGCTTTTCTCAGGGTTCACCACTGGCAATGGGATACTTTGGGAAGGTCCATCTCTCTCTGGTTGGGTTTGGCTGTCCTAACCTTTATATTCATGATGGCTGAAATATCTCTGTTTATGATTCAGGACTTAGAGACTGATGCTTGACTCTCTTACTTTGATTTGAGGATATTTTTAAGGACATTTGGTAAAATGACTTCCTGATGCTTATTTTAGATTTGTGTGATGAGCTGGGTGTTGTGCCATCAGAAGGAAAGTCAAAATATGAGAGGTGTCTGTGTGGGGCTGATGACTGGTTTATAACTCAAGGCAACGGGAGGCACTGAGGATTCAAGGTGGCTTATGACATTTCAGTGCTGTGTGCAGCCTGCAGAATTAATTAGATTCAATAGATTTTTGACACTCTTTCATCAGGTTTTCATTAAGTTTGTGTACATTGTTGATGTGCGTGGTACTTTGTTACATGTTTTCAGCACGCAACTGCAGCAACATGGTTTGCACCATAGAGCTTGCCTAGCAGCTTTGTGTTTTCTAGGCACTGTGTGTCTGTATCTGTAACCTCACATTAAGTGATGTTGTTTTCCTTACTTTCCATTCCTAAATGTCAGGGTGGGTGAGGACAAGTGCCTCTTTGAAGTGATCAGAGCTTGTTAAAAGGTGTGTGATGGCAGCAGAGAAACCTGGCATGAATTACAAGGTCAGCTCTTGGGAAATGCTGTGAGGCCTTTAGCAGTCATTGTTTTTATAATGAACAAAGAAGGACATTTTTCCATTACTATTCGTTGTCCATCATCAGACTATGTGAAAATTAATGTTGCTGCTGTTTTCTGCGAGTCCTAATGGTTGGGCAGACTGGAAGGCTATTCTTCTGTTGTCTGTGCTATTTATTTTAGTCTTTCTGGAGAGATGTTTTGGGAGATACGCTCGGAGGTTAACCTAATGACAGCTTCTGGTTCAGCTCCTCCAGTTAGTAGGGCAGGGTTTGGTCAGTTTTGCCTCCTCTTCTAATAAGAAGAAACTGATCCTGTGGGAGGGAGGAAATGCTCCCTCCTAATTAGCACTGTTGTTTGAAATCTTTCAGTGTTTGGTTTTAAAGGCACAGCTTGCTCATTTGATGTTCATGAAGAATGTGTGTACAGATATCTATATTTTTTCAAGTTTAACACATTAATGAAAGAGAGCAGGGAGGTTGGAAAGGATGGCTTTCCATTTGTCTGCATGATGGAAGGACAATCCAGTTTACGCTTCATCTCCTGCTATTTTGTTTAGTAAGTATTTTCCACTCTTTGTGTGTAAGGCAGTCCTGGAGCACGTTTCCTGCTTTAGCCGAACAGGAAGCTTTATTCAGCTTATTCCTAGGGAAACCCCTCCTCCATCCCTTGCCTTAAAAGTGAGCGCTATTCAGGATGGGATCTGTGGCAGGCAGGACATGATCTGGCTGCTGACTTGCTGCGCTTCCCATAGCATTTGGTATAAGGAGAGTGGGTACAAGACATCCATCATCTTGGAATAGTGAAAAGAGACCTTGAGAAAACACAACCGCACACACACAAAGGAAATATAGAGGGGGAAAAAAGCAAACCCCGTAGTGCGTGCTGCTGAGGATGCTTTAGCAAAAGAGCCTCCTTTTCAACAAAATTCTGTTCTAACAGAATATTGTCCCGATTTTTCAGATGACCACGCGCTGTGGTATTCTCTCTGTTGCTACACGGTAGGAAGATTCAGCAGTGAAGTTCATTCCATGAGGAACAGTGAATTGCTAAGTTCTTGAAAGGAAGAAATCTTCTCTTTTACCCCATTGTAGTTATTTAGATTGCTGCTCAGAGGCAATATAACTCTTGCTTTATTTAGCTAGTGCAAGACTAATTATCTGTGGAAATTCAACCTGATCCAAAGGAGATTTCATTTGAAATGAGCAGGAAGAAAGCCTGTTAGGGACAGATTTCCCATGGG